TAACCAGGTATTAACGATTTTAGTACTGACGGATTTTTAGTTATTTTTGTGTAAAAAGGATTTACGGAAAGAGTTTTGTAAATTTTAATAGTTTAATATTTTGAATTAATATTTTTAATATAATTTTAATTAAAATTTAAATATAGCATTTCCGCATAAAACTAATAATAAGGTTTTTGAAGCAAAAATAATTCAAAAACCTTGTAATGTAAAATTTTATCATTTTTTACCTTTAAATCTTGTTGAATGCCCATTTATCGTAATTGTTTCTATTGGTGAGCATAATCATCTACCACCACTTCCTATAAAAACACCATCTACAATTGTACAAGATTTGGAAAATATTATTAATTATGAAAATTCATTAGAATTAACAGGACGTAAATTTTTAACACGTAAGTAAATTTTATTATTTAATTATTAAAATTAATTTAATATTTAAATAAATTAAATAACTTATATGTATTAATATTATTTATAGGTCCAATGCTTAAAGCATATTTAAATGGCGTACAACTTAATACATTACATCCATCATTTAATAATCAATCAAAGCTTAATTATTTAATAGAAAAAAATCGAAGATCTAAATATCCACATGGACAGGATATAATGGGTATTATTATTATTTAATTTAATCTATTTAATAAAAAATAAATTTATTTTTTATTAAATATATATTAATTTTGTTATTTTATTATAATTAATAGGTGTAATTCATGAGTTTATTAAAAATTATCAAAATGCAGATGATCCATATATTCGTCAAATTCGTAAGTATATATTTATAATTAAATATTTTAATAATATATAAATATTAATATATAATTAATAAACTTATTTTAGGATTTATTGATAATGGGCAATTGATTATTTTATGCTTAAAAAAAGAACAAGCTATTGCATTATCTGAATTAAAGTATTTCGAAATTGATACATCTTTTAAACGTGTTCAAGGTGTATATAAAGAATGGAAAATAAATGCGTTTATTGAAAAATATTCAAAAAGTAAATATTTTAATAATATTTATAATAATTATATAAATATTTTGACTATAATTTTTTAATATCTTATTTATTTTAGCTTTATGTTTTGCACGTGTCTTTGTTAAAAATCAAACGATTCAAACTTATCAGCATATCTTTGAAGAACTTTTTACAATTATTGAACAAGATATAGGCCATTCATTTTATTTTCAACATATTCATGAACAAGGGCTAGGCTGTATTTTAGCTGACACTGAAAAGGCACAAGCTATTGGTATATTTTACTTTATTTAATTTGCTATAATTTATAATAAATAAGATTATACAGTCGATACTGTCTAATTGCATGCCATCCATCAGAAACTTTTTTATGCATATAGACAGTATATGCATTTAAATCATAAGAACCATTTCGGTGTTAATAATTAAAAGCAAAATTTTTTTATGCACTTAGAGAATATATGCAATTAGACAGTATGCAATTAGACAGTATCTACTGTACAAGTAACAAAAAAAAAAACTAAAATTATTTTATTTATTAAGTAAAATAATTTATAAGTTTTCTTTTTTCGTTACTTATATATACTAATATTATTTAAAATTAGGTTTAGGCAAATATCTTGCTAATAAATATCCACAAATGGACTATATTGAACATCTTCAAAATTTATATCGCATATGTTTTGTTCATTATAAAAGGTATAATTTATATTTTAATATTAGATTTATTTGAAAAAATAAAAAATATTGATATTAATTTTAATTACCGGTAATTAGAAATATTAAAACAAAACCAATTTCAATTGAGTCTAAAAAAATAATGAATGGAATTCCATATTTAAAAACACATGAAGAAGTTCTTTCAGCATTAAATCAATTAGAAAATAGTAATGAAAAAGAAACTCAAGGTATATATTTTTATAAAAGTTAATAATTTAAAAACATTTTATTTATATTTATTTATTTAGATTGGGTTAAAGATAAACGGCAACCATGGGTTCTTTCAGCTATATCATGTGCATTTACAAAAATTTCAATGGATATTTGGAATACAATTCCTAATAATACTAATGCTGGAGAAAGTACGCACGCTAATATAAATAGAGATGGACAAAATCTTTCTTTATTGGCTGCTATATACAAGTAAGATCTATTATTAAATAATTTTTTTTTTAAAAAACTTTAATTTAAATTAAATTTATATAGTGCTAGTGCTTTTGATCAACGGCAATGGAGTTCAGTTAATATACATGAATTATATAATGTTCCAAGTTCTTCTAAAAATAAATCACAATTACAACGAACAAAAGAAGCTGCACGACGTATTCGTAAGTAGTTATATAAAATATGCTTTTAAATATAAAATTTTATTAAATAAAATTTAATTTTTAGAAAAACGTAAAGAAAAATCTACTCAACATAAAGAACCTACTGAACCAAAAAAACGAAAACGTACAATAACAAGTAAAGAAAATAATAATTCTCAACAAAATTCTGATTTTGTTATTCCGGATGATGAAGAACAAACTCGTTGGTTAAATTGGGAACAAAAAAAACTTGAAATTCTTGAACGAACAGTAGCTTTAAAAGAAAGATTAATTGAATTAAATCAACAAGAAAAGGAGCATTTAAATAGTTCATTTTAAATATAAATCATAATTTAAATAAATTGCTAATAAATATAACATAACGATAACATAAATTAAATAAATTTTTTAAAATGAATTGTTTAGTATTGTACCGTTAATTTAAAATTTTAAATATTAGTACAATACAGTACGTATAACATTATATATATTTAATAATATAGTACTGTACTGTACTAATTTTTATATATTTAAATTTATAGTACAGTACAGTACTATTTAAATATTAGTACAGTACTGAATTTTGGCAGACCGATAGAAACTTGGGGAAATTACGTAGGAGATCCGTTTCTGGTTCTGAACTGACAAATTGTGTAACCAGGTTATTGTTTTTTTATGCAATAGTGATTGCAATTGCAGATCTTCAGAAGTTGTTTCTAACGCCCAACAAAAGCACAAAAATTCTTGACAGACCTATATTTGTTTTAAAATGACAGCAAAATTTTTCGAAAAACTTTCAAATAATTACCTTGAACTTCTTGATGATAAAGAAGATTTTAATGTGGTTATTAATGTTGGTGAATTTCCGAATATTAAAATTTTCCAAGCACATTCAACAATTTTAAGATACAGATCTTTGTATTTTCGTAACGAATTGACAAATATTAATAAAGATAAGAATAACCTTAAAAAGGTTGACTTAAAAAATTTTTCCATTCAACAATTTGAAATTATTCTCAGGTAAGTTATCTTTTATAAATGATTAAAAATTTATAGCATTTTTTGTAAGAGCTTCAAAAATATAATTTAATTTTATACAAAGATATATCTACGGAGGAGTGGTCTCACTTGAAAATCAAAATGCATCATTTATTTTTGAGCTTATGCTTCTTGCCTACGAATTTCTTTTTGAAGAATTGGCAAAGTACCTTGAAACATATTTAATTGAATCGGAAGCTCATTGGCTTCGTTTACATTTTACTTTTGTTTATCAAAAAAGCTTTCAGAATAATAAGCTTCAAGAATTACAAAAATGGTGCAATGATATTATAGTGAAGTATCCTGATAAATTATTTGAATCGGAAGACTTTGTCTCGTTTCAAGAAAATGCGTTAGTTTCGATTATTAGTCGAGATGATTTACAAATGGAAGAAGTAAAAATATGGAACTGTATTATTGAATGGGGGATTGCCAAAAATCCTGGTCTACCATCCAATTCTAAAAATTGGACTCCTGAAAATTTTCTGGCTTTAAAGACTACTTTACAAAATTGCTTACCTCTTATCCGTTATTTTAATATGTCTGGTGATGATATTATTGATTATGTACATCCGTATCAACAAATCCTAGAAAAAGATCTTTGGGATGATATAATAAAAAGGCTTGTATCTCCGAATCGACCGATATTATCAAAAATGCTTCCACCTCGTATGGTTTTAACACCAACATTACCGAATCGAATTACTGAACCATTTTCAACAGTTATCAATGAAGAGCATGCAGCAGAAATCGCTACATGGGTTGATAAAAAAGAAAATACATATTCTGCACTAAATAATCCGTACGAATTTAAATTACTTCTTCGTGGAACTAGAGATGGCTTTACTGCTGAATCATTTTGGAATTTATGTGATAAGAAAACACACCTTGTTGTAGTTATGAAGGTTATAAACACTGATGAAATTCTTGGTGGATATAATCCTATTGGATGGGATAAACCAGTTGAAGGAAGCTACCATAAGAATTGCAATGATAGCTTTATTTTTTCATTAAAAAATGGTACCATTCAAAATTCTATTTTAAGTCGTGTAAAAGATCCTGCATATGCAATTCGTTGTAGTTCTAGTAATGGAATATTTTTTGGTGGATCAATTTTTGGTATTGGCGGTGATTTAAATATGAAGAATAAGTTTAATCAAAATAAACAATGTCTTTGTCATCAAAGATCATATGATAAAAATATTAGAGATGCATCTACGTTCACGGATGCTGGTAAGTCATTTTTTTCAGTGGAGGAATATGAGATATTTCAAATTGGCAAAAGGTCGTAAAAGTTTTATGCTACTTAATTCACTAAATACAGAAATAATGACTTCATCGTTATCGTAAATAGAAATCTACTTATTTTGTTATTGTATATTAAATATAACTCCATTACTTGACTTGACATCTTAAAAGTATAACGATTAATGATAAAACTACAAGCTTTAAATGGAACAAAATTATTACATTTAAAAGTGATGTTTGGTTTAATTTATTTTCCAAAAGTAATGCTTTTCAATGCACAGATTAATTATTTAATGAATTGCCTTCCATCATAAATTTAGTTTGATTCTATATTAATTTAATCGACCTTTAATACTGGTCGCAAAAGACACATTACTAGAAAAGTCATAAGAAACTTTTATAGTTTTAGCACAGCCGGACATTATTCTTGCTAGTAATTATTGATTTCTATAACAATATTGTATATACTGCCGTTTGGCACTGCTTATAATGCCCATCTTATTGAATTTATTAATACCCTTTGGTTACTTTGTATAGGGGCAGGTACTATATTTAGATACAATTAATTTGAAAATAGCAAAATAATATAAATATACCAGACATTATACTGTGAATATAACTATAGAGGGTATGATTTTATGGGGATACTATAAGCAGTGCTAAATTGCAAAGTATTAATGTCTTTAAAATAGATTACTAGAAAACTGGCACGTATGATAAGATTATTTTCGGAATTTTAGCGGTAACTCATATATCAATGCTTTGCGAAGTGTATGTTGTCTGAAGTTGCAACTTTAGACACTAAAATCAGACCTAACTGAGATTTAACCGTAAAATTAAGTCTTGCATTACTGCATCAGATGCCGAAATAACATCTCTGGGTACAAAAACACTAGACAAAATAAAGAAATCAGTATTAGTTCACCCTTTAAATTAGATTAATTTGCTGTCAAATGTGCTAAAGTTGTCGACACATCACCAATATTCAGCTAGCCAAGAAAATGAATATTGACAGAGCTAGCGGATTGATTACAGATGTCGGCAATAGCTAGTACACATTTAGTATATTCAAACAACAAATTAGGCCTATAATATTTCAATCGAAACGAATATACAGTATACTGATTTTTAATTAAGCTAAACCTTAGTTGGTTGAATTTAATTACTAGTAATGGCATTTCTTATGAAATGTGCTTTCTATTATCATTAACGTACAAGGAAGCGCCACCTGTCTTATTTCAAATAATATATATATCATCACTGATAAATAAAGATTCCAAGTAAATAATAAACAATAACGACTTGCAAAACATGGAAATGAACCAGTAATCTGGTAACTTGTACAATTATTAAAATTCGATTATCCATTACAAATTAGTTGGTTCTATTTCTAGTTAATTTTTATAATAAAATGATTAGGCAATTTGTATAAAGATTAATATATGTATGTAAGTAATAATTACTATTTTAGTCATTTATATAAAAATTAATTCGGATTTGTGTAAAAGGCCTTATCATCGTAAAATTTAGCTTTGCGTACGTACGTATAAACGTTATGTTTCATGTAATAAAGTATTTAGGTAACTTATTTTAATGAAAATATGGTTAAAATTTTATGATTACACATCCCTTTACTATATTCACTCCTAATTTTGATGTAGTGTAACTTTATGGATTGTCAACTCCGCTAATACTCCGTTAATATTTAAGATTATTCTTATATTAATGAAAGAATGTATTAAAAACTGCAAAATTCCAACTAAACCATTTATTTAAATCCAGAATATAAACGCTGAATAAAGACTTAAAATATTTATATAAGTTACATATCCAGATGTTTTAGATTTACAACGAAAAAAATGTGTTCAAAGCCAATATTAAACGAAGGAAAAAAAACTACAAAAAAATAATAAAAAGCTACAACAAAAAATTTATACATAAAATATAAAAAATACAAGTACGAATAAAATGAAAAATTGCGAGCGATAAATAAATATCGATGCATCTATACCAAATAAACCAGATTGCTGTGATTCTGACAGAAGTGTTTCTGATCGTTTAAGTGGTGTTTAAGTGGTAAGAACAACAATAACATACTGTATAAGATCTAATTACTATAGGTGAGAAAATATTGCATCATTAATCACAGCTCAATTGTACTTTATTAATATCATTCTTAGATGAATAAGGTTTATGAAAACGTCTAGGCGTTAAATTTCTTATGGTTCAAAAATCTCAAACCAGAAAGCGTAATATTCATATCGTCCTGATGTTCAAAACAAAGAATTCGCTGTTAATAAATAAATAAATATCCAAAAAATAAAACAAAATAGAAAATTAATTTAAATACAAAAATGACTACAGGATCAAGAGAATTCATGAAAATCTGGGACCGTATCAGAGGTAATATCATATAACGAAGTAATTATCTTGGGACCAGATAAATAATCTACATTCGTAATATTAGTTTCTTGGCCAGAACTTACACCAGCTAATTTAAGTCACGTCATTATATATACGGAAATAAATTTTAGAGTTAGTAACGTAGAAAAGTCTGTATATGAATATTTTAACAAAGTAGGTACCATTTAATTGGGAGTTAAAACTTTCACCGACTAATATACGAGCCCATTCTGCAACGTGAGTTTCGATACAAGCATCATCTTGCATAGAATATGTTTCAGGCTCTTCACAAAGTTGACCTGAATATATATTTTGGTTTGTTGAAATAAAAGAAGTTCCGGGTACTGTATTTGAACAATAAAATTCAGGTAAAAGTATATTACTAGCCAATTGTTCTTTATGTCTAGATTCATATTGCAAAGAATATGGCCTTTCATAAAGTAGATTTATATAAATATTTTGGCTTGTTGAACTAGAAGAAGCATGAGATACTGTATTCAAGTTTCCTTTATGCCTAGGTTCTAATAAAGACTTGGCTGTATTTAAGTCTAATCCAGTTTGCATCATTCCCTTCATGATTGGATAAGAAAAGTTCCTGAACCTGAATTTCTTATTTATTCTTTTAGATGTGGTATTTAAGTCTAATCCATTTTGCATCATACTATTCATGGCTGGATAGGGATGGCTCCTGGATTTGGATTTCTTTTTCATAAATGTCTTCGGTGTTTCGTATACAAATGTTAGCTTTTTAGGTGAAGTATTTGAACTTGCTTCGTTTTGAATTACTTCTTCATTCATGATTACTAGAAAGAAAAAGGTAAGGCAGAGATATAGGACAAAAAGAAAAAGAGAACGATAAAGGAGAATTTTAATTTCTAGTTAAAAGATCTCTTAAATATAATGCGATTACTTTTATTTACTTTTACTTAATCTTATTGACTGTTATTTAATTTATATATTAGGAATAATTTATTTTCCCATCCATTAAAATTTATATATTTAATTGGTGTACAAAAAAATTTGGGCTTGGTAAAGTACATCGCTAAAAATAAACTGGCAATTATGTCAAAATTGGAATTTCTGATTCTTTCAATGACTATATCTTGCGGTTAAAATTTAAAGTTTCAAGGAATTACTATAGGAATTACTATACGGGGATTATTTCAAATTCGTAAATTTATCTTAAAGAAGCAATACCGATCCAATGTTTTGATGTTTCCTAGACTATAATTATTCCTCAAATATAATTTTTTTTACGCTGTCGTTTAGCATAACGATAGCAGACATTGATTTATATGGAAATTCCCATCTCAGTCAGGTTATATACATAGTAATTCCTCTAAATAAAACGCATGAACTTCTAAATGTTTATTGTTTAGTAACATAATTTTAAAATAAAAAACGGTAAATTTGTTTTCATAATCAATGATGACTAAATGCATCTCGTTGCAGTAAGTGATTTTTTTATATATATATAACTTACATCCGCATTTACTGTATTACAGTATATACAGTATATTTAATATGTGTAGTATAGTAAAATCCGTAATACTGTATGCAATTTTCTCATCTGAAAATTTCTGACATTAAATTCACCTTTGATTTGTGTTTTACTGCATGCTGATAACTGTCCTACACAATTCATCTTGTGTAACAGGATTTAAAAATTGTTTTAATTGAAAGTTTTTTTTAATTGGCCATAATATATTATTCCACGATAGTAGTCTATTCCTTTAAACCAATTTGAATACTTTGACTATATAATATTATGGCCGAACAAAGCTTAATATTGCTGTATCGATAATCTAAAAAGTAATTCCCGATTGTTCCGTTATTTTTCCTCATATACATTACCTTTTTAAGTGCCTATACACAAATTTTAATCCCGAATAAAAAAAAAGAACCATAATAACAACAATAAATATCGTACATGCTATTGACATCTAAATCTAGCATGCAAACGCTCTAACTTAATTTTATCTTAATTTGGTATAATACATAAAATTATATACGTATAACTGTTATCCCTGTTATTCTTTTAAAGAAGTTCCCTAATTTGGGAATTGCTAATTTTGTTATAAATACCGTAAAAACTTTACTAATATAGAATAAAAGCTAGGTGTAGTCTAAAATTTCCGAAATTATATATTTAAATAAGTTGCCGTTCCCTGCATTTTCCTTATTTCTCAATTTTTTTTTGTTATTCGATCTATATAGTTTGCACAATATTTGAAAATTTGAGCTACACTCTTGATGCTGTCAATAGATAATAACAATTTATAGTTGCAGCAATCTTTATATTCTATATATCTAAAGATAAGATTGCTAAACAACTTACAGTAATTAATGAAATTCTATTTGCGTACTTACAAACAGTATTGTACAATCAACACTTGTAATTTCTAAAATGTAGATATTAATCCGTAAAAATTTCCCTAGGTATTATTTAGAATGTATCTGACTAACTTCTTCGTCAGCTTATGACCGGTACGGATCATTGTTAGACCCGAAACACGTGATCCACGAATGACGATTTTGTCGTGGGATCTTCGCCGTATGACCCTAAGTCACGCTCTCTCGGCTATGTAGATCACCTACCTTAAATGGGCTTCCCGGCAGTATACACTGTATTCGTGTATACTTAATGTCGGGTGGATAATTGATATCAGTGGGATAAGGGGAATCAGTGGGATCAAGGGTATAATTAAAATAATCTGTATAAACGTTATAATCAGTATAATAAGCATAGACGTTATAATTAATATATATGAGATAACGAACATAAG